CAAACCAATGTGCATGTTGTTTCAATGCCATGCAACAACATTGGCTCAATTGAGCCCATCGTGTGCTGTCATCCTCAATCGGGTGGTCTCATGTTGTCATGGTCTGCACCCATCTGTCGAACCACTTAGCCGCATCACCTAGATTCCATTTCATGGCGTGCCTTGGTGCAAGATACCACCAAGACCCGCCATTGTGCACTCAAGTTAGTTAGGGTGTGACACTAAGCATGTATATACACATATGTCAAGTTAACATATGCAAATTTGACTCATCCCAACATCCTAAACAGTCCACAACTAACCTAAACTCACGTGTCTATAGAACCTTATAAACCTAGGCTTTGCTTCTTCTTTGTCAGAGAATCATTGGTTTGACTGACGGACTATGTGGGAAATATGTGATCNAATGCATAGTACCCCGTGGCTTCACATGTGGCATGGGGGGGTGGTGTTGTCCAAGTTGCTACCTGTATCTCTGTTTGCAACTCCACCAACTGATTTGTCGTTGCTGCCATTTGTGCCACCATCTCAAACGCCCTCTACACCATATCTAACTGATTTTGCTCCCCTTCCCTACTGTCTTGTTGCTGTCTCTCACCTCCCTCATCCATAGCATGAAATAAGATCCATCTCCTTCAATGGGTTCTTAATCTAGTGGAGCATTCAGTATCTCTTAGCCACAAAATTGTAATGAACATACCTAAGTGTCACGGGGTAACTCTTAGTTTTTATTTTGAGGCTCCTTGTGAAAGCGTTGCCAATGCAACTAGCGACACAAACACATATATAGGGGCAAAAACTCATACAAAAGCAACACACGAATTTATTGGGAAAACACTCCCAAACCTTATATTGAAGCTCTCTCCAATTAAAAGGAAACTCGACTCATAAGCAAGAACACACACTCTCTCTCTCTAAAGAATGCCCAAGCACCCTTATTTATACAAGGAACATGGCAGATCACACCCCCATCTGCCAAAGGGGTTGTTACAACAGTTTGCTTATTCTCTAGCAGACTTGGTCACTAAGGCTGCTTCTTTGTGCAACACCTGGCAGGTAGTTCCACCATTTCAGCACCTGATGTGGAACTACCCATATCTGCATACACCTAGACCAAAATGTGGCTAAAAACGCCCACAACTGCCTCCCTCATACTAGGCCATGTTCAGCAGCTACTTTGACTGGGCCATGCACCAGCAACTGCCCACATCCTCATGGTTATATGCATTGAATAGCTATGTGCCCACAACTCAGCAATCAACCTTGCCCACAAACCAATGTGCATGTTGTTTCAATGCCATGCAACAACATTGGCTCAATTGAGCCCATCGTGTGCTGTCATCCTCAATCGGGTGGTCTCATGTTGTCATGGTCTGCACCCATCTGTCGAACCACTTAGCCGCATCACCTAGATTCCATTTCATGGCGTGCCTTGGTGCAAGATACCACCAAGACCCGCCATTGTGCACTCAAGTTAGTTAGGGTGTGACACTAAGCATGTATATACACATATGTCAAGTTAACATATGCAAATTTGACTCATCCCAACATCCTAAACAGTCCACAACTAACCTAAACTCACGTGTCTATAGAACCTTATAAACCTAGGCTTTGCTTCTTCTTTGTCAGAGAATCATTGGTTTGACTGACGGACTATGTGGGAAATATGTGATCTAGGCAAGTCGCTACATGTTCTCCCCTAGCCCTTGAACGATAGAAAAACTACTTTTCTTCTCTTAGGTAGTGGTTGATCGGTTTGCATCTATGGTCCAATCAATAGATCTGCAGATCATACCCTACTCCGGATATAGTACACTTATAGTCGATTCCAAGAGATTGGACCCCATTTACTAACCGATAACATATTCACTAAATGCCATATTGTGTATGATATTTAATACTCCATAAAATAAACAATGACCAACATATTCACATACTTGCATAGCTATATACATTGGGTTAATTTCATACATTTATATAAAAACCCTGCTCAACTTTTACTTCACATACTTTAACTTGACATCTAATAATTGTACAAATTACATGTCTAAATGTTTACAAAATATAACATCATGTTCCAATTTAAACTCCTCGACTCTCTAGGACTCAACAATGGACTTCATTCTTTTGCTAGTTCCCTAAAAACGACAAACTGTAGGGGGAGGTGAGCACAACACGCTCAATGAATGTCCATTTACATTTTACATATAATAACAAAAATGTACTTCACGCACTAGAATCAACAGATAACATTGATAAACCATCACACACATAACTTTCACATATTCACACATATTCGCCACTAAGGCCACAACTTAGCCATTTAGGCTATATCTGCCATCTAGGCATAATTCGGCACTAAGGCTCAATAACGTCACTAAGGCCACACAATCGTCATTAAGGCCAAACAATTGCCCTTCATGGGCTATACTAGCCAATAGCTTTTTCACATCAATAAGGCTTTAAGCCTTCTCATAATCATTGACAATAATAACTTACCACATATTCAATACCAGTAATTGGTATTAGCCTTAGCGATCAAATTCACCATTTTAGGGTCACATACTATTTTAGATCAATAAACATCATGCTTATACATAAATAATACATATGCATATTTTAGTTATTGCCAGTCACATGAAAAAGCACTCACCTTGAGTTAAATTCCAATCTAGACTCGATCCTTTTATGCAGTCTTAGATGAACCCGACGTTGGCGTTGTCGTCTTCACACCCAACACACATCGCCATAGACCACGTAAATATCATTTACAAATATCTGATGTTACGCTACACATGCATGGGTGATTAATCAAGTTTAACTCGATAATTTCTTAAAACCCCTTTTTATTTACCATAACATATCAAACCTTTAGATTTGGAGATGTATTGGAAGATAAATAGAATCAACTATAATTGATTCAAACTCATTAAAATGTATAAAGAAGGTTTGAAGTTGAGTGGACAATGAATTATAGATGGTACAACAAAAATGGTGAAGTCTTATTGGTAGAGTCGTGTCCTACTGGTTGGTCTTCACTTCCTACCGGTAGAACATCTTATAGAATGTTGTTCTACTGGTAGGTCACCATGTTGTTCTACCTATGAAGGGATTCCAACTCCGGCAAAGAAAGACCGATACACAAAGAAGAGAAGTTCACCATGTTTTCACCGAACAATTAGTCAAAGATGCTTCAAAATCATCCAATCGAGCAACAACACAAAATTGTACCTTGTGATAGGGATAAGAGGTAGAAGCAGATTACCGGTGCACATATCCAGACTACCAATCCCCCGAAACAACCCAAATTTTATCACAAATCAACCTAATGACCTTGCAATCAAATACCCACAACCAATTGAGGTGGTTTACACCAAGGAACACTCTCATCCTAGCCTTTGATAAGGTGTTGCTTGTTCCATCAAATAATGGTGGCCGTGAAACCGACCCTCCTTCTCGTTTAGTATTTATCAAAAAAAACTGTGGTTCAATAGATTTCCAACTAAAAATAAATAATTCACATCTCTTGGGGTTACCAAAAGCTCTGATAGCAATTGAGTGTGCAATTTAGATTGACCATGACCCGTGGAACTCAGACATACTTGACTTTTTTTTTGGGGGGTGGGGGGAGGGGAGGGAGTTTGAATAGGTCTTGCCACTCAATGTAGAATTTAATACCTATTCCAAAACCTAATTCAGCTAATTAATTAATTTATCAAATTAATATACCAAAACCCCCAAATCAATCAACGCAATCACCTAATTTAAGGATTAACGGTAAATCCTCAAATTATGATCTATCCCCACTCCAATTAGATCTACCAAATTAGTTCGGCCAACACCCATAATGTGATTTTCAAGCAAATATTTATTTCCTGACCCAAAAAAAAAAATGCAAATATTTATTAAAGCATATAAGGAATGTAAAGTTGCAAGCATAAGGAAATATGGCAAAAACCACTGGACCACTAGCTTAAAGATAGATTATAAGCCCTAAAGTCTTATACCTCAATCAATACCATAGTTAGAGGCTTTCTTGCCTGAATATTCTCTCCAGAGTCCATCGTAAGCTCATGATGACTAGCTTCAATAGGGGACGACTGAATTGCACGATATGCCCTTGGAATCCTCCTTCTCCATGCTTGGAATCCTCTTCACTTCTGTGGGTTTAATGGATTTCTACTAGATCTCTCTATCTCACGAATGAAGAAAATCAATAGCTTAAGATTAATCTAAGTAGATCTTTGGCCTTTTAGATTATGGGAGTGTAGAGTTTGTTTCTTGCCTCTCTTGATGGTCTTTTAGGCATTTCTTAGCTAAATGAAGCTTGGCCTAGTGAGAAATTACTGTCCTATATAAAAGGTTATGAAAATAGAGTTTAATTGGAGCTTTAGAAAACCCAAATTCATGACATCTTGAGCTGTCAGCCAGTGGTCTTCGACAGTGGCTATTCTTTTAAAAGGGGAACTTGTTGAGGTCTCAGCAGTGGAGACTGCTTGAGCCCTCTTGAGACCACTAAAAGGCGTCTGGTCATCACTTGAGCAGTCAGCCAACGGTCCCTACTGGTTGCTTTCCAGCTTCTCCCTAAGAGATCAAAGACCGCTCGAGCAGCAAGGCCAGTGACCATCGAACGGTCCCTACTAAAACTAGCCCTATTGAGTATCCAGGGTATTACTGAACAAAGATTCATACAATGACTCTTATAGTATTTTCAAAACATTCTTTTGTGTTTCAAAAAGATTTTTCTTTCAATATACGAGGTTCATGATATGAATTAAAATGTGTCATGATACGTAAACTCGAAGGATTCTATTAAGTCTTCAAATGCAGCTTTGTAGCTTGAACTTCATCATGCCTTCTTACTTTGGTCTTTATCTTCTTAGCATCACAATCATGAATTCAGTTTATATAATTACATATGACCTTACGGAATTAGCCAATTTCAATAAATTTCTTAACAGTGTGTGAGGGAGTGATTTTGCACTTGTTCTATATTGAAGATGAAGGAACCCACTTGCATATATATGGACTTTGACATCACTGTAATGCACTCTAGTGCATCAACACCTGAATTCATGAGATCTCCACTTCTTTTCGGCCAAAGTTGAAAGAAATCTAGGCTTCTACATGCTCATTATCTTCTTTATTCCAGTGGCTATTCTTTATGGATGTTCAGATATATAGGTTTCATTTGGATGACTTTTTCTTTGTCTTTCTAATAGGGAACTTCAAGCTTGTTGTTTTGCATTGGCGGACCTTATGGTCATGGAAGACAATTGCGGGAACGTGCTAATATATCAATTAAGTTGTCATCTTTGGTCTTAAACCATCAGGTTGCATTAGTTGTACTCATGGAGCAACTTTACAGGTGAGTATATTTTGAATTACTATCATTTTTTTGATCTCCTGCGATATGGTTTGAGCACTGATTTGTTGATCATATTTTACAGCTTTTGCTCTTAAGAGTAAGGCCTGATATCGTGAGGACCCCATGTAGTCCCCACACTATCGGTAATTATTTAATGAACATGCCAACATAACAAAATTTGGCCAAAAAAACATCAGCTTCAGTCCTATAGATGCTCTAACCATGGAAGTGGGGTTGACTTTGTTGAAACTTAGCATTTACTAAATAGGAAATGCTAATGGAAGCCTGGTTGTGTTTGGTGGGAAGATCAATTGGTCCGAGACCTTGGGTTTCCTAACTCCAGCCCGTTGAGAAGTTTTATAGTCCAATCTGGTGGGACATTGGACAAATGAGAAGAGTAATGCTATTGAGACTTAAAAATTTGACCTAATTTGTTGATTTAATGATATGACCGTTGACATGGTCTAATAACTTTATTGTAACTGTATCTGGTGGACTTCTTTAGTAGGCACCATATCACTTAACACATTATTAGGTCAAGATATTAGTATAGATTTTAGGTTTGAAAAGTATTACTCTTGTTGGGAAATTGATGTAGACTAGGAAGGGAAGAATTAGGGATGACAAGAGAATAAGAAAAAAGGGATGAGAAAAGAGAAAGAATTTTGAGAAGGAAGCAATATCAGTACTCAATAATAATCAAAGTCTAATCTAAATAAAAGTTTTACATGCATCCCTTTATATAGGGAAACTAATGACAAATAAATCCTCAAAAGTTAAAAGAAATTACTTAAAAGATAAATGTTAAAAGTATCTAAATAACTTTCATAACTAATCTATAATATCTATCCGATTCCTATGCGATCCCCATCATTCTTCCCCCGTTAAGAAAAATTCTCATCCCGAGAATCTTCAAATTAGAAGTACCCCAAGAGAGTATGATGAAGATGACATAGTGCCTTATCTAGAATAAAAGAACTATCAACTTCTTTCCATCGACCAAGATAAATGTAAGAATCTCCATCTGTATGAACACTTGCTAATAAAATAGGAAGCTCTGGAGTACCTTGATTAATGTCTTCCAAATAAAAATCTAGACTAATACTAACATTCAATGAAAAATTAAGTAAATAAGCATTAGATCTAAATCCAAAAATAGCAAAACAATTCTCATTAGGTTTTAACAAAAAATATTCAATTGGACAAGACATTGATGACAAAAGAGTAATAATAACGCCTTGATTGTGAAAATAAATAAATACCAATTTAAGTGAAATCTTGATAGTAGGAATAAAGTCAACTATTTCAGAGGGGAAAGACTTTGGAACAAAGTTAGAATGACTTGAAATAGGAGACTCAAAACAATCACTAAAAGATTATGAAATGGGTAACTTAATATGCTCAACATCTTTCATAAGTGTAAACTTGATAGACTTTTCAGCAAGTTCCATTTCAAATGGTGACCCAACATTTGACTCCGGCAAATGATCAAACTCACTTTCTTCAGGTATTGACTTTTGTTGGTATAAAGGAGGCGAGCTCTGATCTGATGAAACCGGATAAGGGGATTGGTAGTGTATATGAGTAACATCTTTTTTTTTAGGTGAGAATGTGTCATCCAAATCCATGGTTACCCAGGAATTAAGAAAACATGTATAAACAACATGGATATCATTCAAGTAATCATGATACTCATATGTGGTGGAATTAAAATTAGAAGGTCCCTTGTCAATAGGCTGTGATTGAGAACCCATCAAGCTATAGTTGGATTTCTTATGAAATCCCTCAACCTTTAGAGTATATTGATAAGCTGTAACTAACGTATTAAAAGTATGTAACGTAATCTCCCTACTAATTTTTTGTCCGAACCCAAGAATAAACTGATCAATTGTCCAAGGTTCTTCAACAATGTCACACAAATACATGAGATAATCAAGCTGGTCAAAGTAATCAGAGACATTAGAAGAATGTTGGCTAAGATTGAGCCGTTGGTTATAAAATTGATTCGTGTAGGAAGTAGGTAAATAGTTCTCTTTCAATTTATATCTCATTTTAACCCAAGTGATAGGTGATTCTCTTAAACTATCTAGGCTTCTTTGGATTGCTTGCCAATACCACTCGGCGAAACCCTTCATCATCAATGTAGCAAAACAGACGCAATGAGAATCTGACATGCCATGCCAATCAAAATATTCTTCTAAATTAACTAACCAATCCAATAATTGATTGGAATCTGAAGTACCACAAAAATGTAGAAAGATCTTTAATTGATTTGGCAATAAGTGTTGAATCCTTGTAGACATATTTATACTTGCTATGATGATGAACCCAAGGAAGGACTCTTAAATTAGAGTAAATATGTGGATTAGAGGCATCATACATACTCATGAGGGAGTCTTGGAACAAGGGAATGACACCAAACCTAGTTCAAGAATGTAATTGATAAATGATTTGGACCCTTTGTAAAATTTTTTAATTTTCCAATGAATAAAAATATTGGTTTCAAATTTCTATAGGAGTATGCCTACCATAATCCAAGCCTTACTTTGTGGGAATTCTGAAATTCAGAAACTTTATAGGGATGATTATGCAATTTTTGAAACTTCTGGGGTGCTGTTTCTGTAATTTTCTGGAACTTCTGGGGGTGATTCTACAATTTTCTAGATTTGCTGGGGATGCTTCTTCAATTTTGGAACTTATGGATGATATCTTTGTGATTTTTGAAACTTTTGGGGATAATTGTGCAATTTTTGAAATTTTTGGGGGTGATTTTAAATTTTTTTTTTTTGATTTTATTGGGGATGTTTCTGCAATTCTGGAATGTCTGGCAGTAGGTCTTCTTCTCCACGTCTCATTGCTGAACAAAGCCCTAGCTATCCAAACTTCGGCGAATTCCAACAACAACGACAACAACTTCCAACCTTGCGATGAACAGTGGTAGATTGAGGCGTTACAATAATTCTGATTTGGATTGGGTGTACGCTCACAGCAACTGGGTGAAGATGTTCACTGTTTATGGCAATGAACAGTAGTGATGAACACCAGCTAGGTGAAGAGGTTCACTACTTATGGCGATGAACAGTGTTTTGTGATGAACAATGTTTTTTGATGAACAGTGATGATGTGATTTACACGAATTGAAGTTGGGCTTTGATACAAAATTGATGTAGATCGTAATAGCTATGATACCAAATTGAAGAAGAAAGGGATGAGAAAAGAGAAAGAATTTTTTGAGAAGGAAGCAATATCAGTATTCAATAATAATCAAAGTCTAATCTAAATAAAAGTCTTACATACATTCCTTTATATTGGAAAACTAAAACCCTAAAACAAATATTCAATAATAATCAAAGTCTAATCTAAATAAAAGCCTTACATACATTCCTTTATATAGGAAAACTAAAACCCTAAAACAAATAAATAATGACAAATAAACCCTCAAAAGTTAAAAGAGATTACTTAAAAGATAAATATGAAAAATATCTAAATAACTCTTATAAGTAATCTATAATATCTATCCAATTTCTATACGATCCCCATCAAAAACTTACTTGATTGGATGAGTTTATTGTTATGGTTAGTTAAGACGTAAAAAACTAATAGTATTGTGCTAGAGAAAGTGAGAAGAAGAGAAGAAGATAACGAAGAGGAAGGGAATGAGATAAGATGAGAATAATCTTTATGTGGCTTTGTTGCCTACACCCTCTTGTATATATTGGACAAATGTCTAGGGTAATTAAGTATTACCCTACACTAACTTATTTTTACTAATAGACATAAAATATGAAACATAAAGATAAGAACTCTCACATTCCCTATTGTAGAATGTTAGGTTATTTTAATTAAGGGTGTTATTGTAATCTACAACTTTCTTGTGAGTTAATATAAATATGGGTGATGAGAATAGAATGAGGTTAACTCTAATTCTCCAAAACCCTACTTTCTAATTTCTTTCTTCTCTCTTCTCATCTCTTATCTCTTCTCCACCCCAAACCCTAAAAACTAAGAATTTTAGCTTTCAACTTGGTATCAGAGTGATTTAACAGATGTTCGAAGTCGTTGGAATATTCAGGAAGAAATTGAGAGTCTAATGTTGTTGCTGATGTCATTGCCGGAACCGACCAACTTTGACATGGTCCGACTTGTTTTGCCTACCAAGTATGATGGTGATTTTTTGGAATTTTTTGAAGTCATATGATGTGTTTTTTGCGATCTACTGATTGGCGGAGTTTGTGGCCATTCCTACTGTCCTGATGCAACCTGTAGGTGCCGACTAAGTTTCCTAGGAGCTCTAGTTGAGTTCCATGCACATCCCACTAGTTTTTTGGCAATTTTTTAGCTTCGGCAGTGGGTTTTTTTGGGCTCTGGCAAATCTGGTTTTGCTCCGACAGGTGGTTTTTTGGGTCTCGGCATACTGGGTTGGTCTCAGCAGTGTTTTGTAAACCTGGACAGAGATCATCCAGCCTCGGCAATGACTATTCTTAGCCCTACAGGTTTGGGCTTTGTGTTCTTGAGTGCTTTTGGGTTCTGTGAAGGTTTTTTGGATTTTTCTTGTGTTTCAAGCCTCTAATTTGGTTCCTCTTGTGTTGGTTAGTCTTAAAATTACTATTCAGTAGTCGAGCTATGTTAGAAAAGTTATTTTTCGCTAAGTAGACATATATGGAGTTAGTGCAAAATCTACCGGTACTAAGAAAAGTGGGTTGAGTCGTGTAGGGACTCTTGGATATAACCCTTATGGTTAGTTAAGACCTGAAAAATAATAGTATTGTGCTAGGAGAAAAAGAGAAGAAGAGAAGAAAATAAACGAAGAGGAAGAGAATGCAAGATGAGAATAATCTGTGTTGTGTTGTCCTATACCTCTTATTTATATTGGACAAATATTCTGGTAATTGCAGCATTACCTTACCCTAGCTCATTATGACTAATAAACATAAAGTATGAAACATAAAAATAAGGACTCTAACATGGTTATTTGCATAAATATTCCATTTGCTAGAGTTGGTATTAATCTTTGTTAGAAATCCTTCTATGTGAATGTTATTGTCCATTTCGTAAGATGGACGGAAAATTGGAACAAGGTAGCTGGAAGAAAGGAAATGCATTTTCTCGGTTTTGGTTAAGGAAGAAGAACGAAGGACAGAAGTTTTGATTGATTTCATTATCATACCCATGTTGGAATATAAAGGAAGGGGTTTATTCCATGTTACTCGGAAAAGAAAAATAAGACACGAGGAAGGTATATAAGCCTTTATTTCCATTTTGAGTTAGAAAAATGAAGAAAGAAGATAAAGAAATTAACAATTTGGTTGCTACAGAATGTATCAGCTGGCTTAAAATCCAAGGCCAAAAATGGAATCCTTGACCCAAAATTTTGTAGAACTAGTAGCCCTTTGAATGTAAAACTAAGTTTTTAGAGATGTTATAATTCAAAATTCAAACCCAAACTAGGGTTTCTTTCATACACCTCCACACACCAGACCATGGCAACCAGGCCTCGACACGTTATAACAAACAACATGAATCAAGCCTCAATTGGAAGAAAAGTAACCACTTTGTACAAGACCCATTCCAAGAATCCAAACCCAACAACTCTATTGTTTTGCAAATTTGTGCACCACCACTACACCAAACACAAATCTAAACATACCAGTAGGTTCTTAAAGGAATATAGAAGCTTACCACGCTGCTCTTTTGCCTCGGATTGCCTTGGAACAAAACCCCTTTTTCCTTTTCTCTTTTTGCTTCATGCTTTCCCTCTCTTTTCTCTATCTCCTTGTTATCCCTTCTGTTCTTAGCCTTCTAGAGTCTCTATATAAGAGAGAATAAAGCAAATGATAGTTTGCATGATAGAAATCAACTCCCCAAGAACACCTTCTCCTTGCAACATGTGAGGTGCTTGGAGGGGCATTTTCGTAATTTTTCTAAATTTTGAATTTTTCCTTTTTTTTAAAATATACTTTAATTCCAACACTTAGAAATCCTAACTTTTAGGGGCTGTTTGTTTATTGTCTTTGTCTTGTGTTTTGTGTTTTTGTTTTTAATTTTTATTAAAGATAAAAACAAAAATATGTTTGGGTACTGCTTTTGTTTTTGTTTTATATTAGTTGTCTTGGAAAAAATGGGAACAAAGACAAAAAAATGGGAACAAAAAAATTGTGTTCTAAGAAACACCCAAAACACAAAACATGCGTTTGACATTTTAATGAGGTCTCAACTTCAACTCTTGTTAGCCACAAAATACCACAACATTTGATGAACTATAAATATGGGGATTGTATGGTCTTTTTTCATTTTTCGTTCTCTCCAATCTCTTTGTGAACAATTCTCTTCTCCCCTCTCTCTCTCCGACTTTCTCTTCTCTCTCTCTCAACGATGCTCTCTTCTCCTATCTCTCTGAACGACCCTCTTCTCCTCTCTCTCTTAGCGACCCTTTTCTCCTCCACGATGGCGTGAGCCCAGTAACTGGGACGACGAGGAGGCTTTCAATCACAGATAGCCTGACGATCCGCCATCTGTTGGTCCTGTGTGTGTCCTCCATCCATTTGAGACCAGTTTGGTGAAAGGTAAGTGTATCCATTCAAATATATGCTAGATCCATTCAAATATATGTCAGATCTGTGAATGTAAGGTAACATATATATATATACAAGGCCAGATCTGTGATGATTGTATTTGTGTGTGATGGACCCTCTTATTTTTTTTTGTTTTCCCCTAAAATTTGTGTGTAGATCTGTCTTTTTTTTTTTTCCCTCATTTTCCCCTAAAATTTGCGTGTGCAAATCCATTAGAAACCCTCCTCTGTTTATCATTTTCCATTACAAAAAAATTGGGTGTGCAGAGTACGTGTGTTCTCTGTGTGGTCTGTGTGTGTTCTGTGTGTTTTGTATGCGTCTGTGTGTTTTAAGTTTGTGTTTGTGTGACTGTGTGTGGTGTGTGTGTCTCTGTATGTGTTCTGTGTATGTCTGTGTGTGACTAGTTAGAGGTGGATCTTCAATTATTGGTGCTTTGTTGGGAATAAAGCATGGTCCTTTTTGAAGTGGATTTTGCCACATCAACCTAGTTGCTATAAGCACATGGAATGTATGTCTTGTTAAGGAACAAATTATTCTTTGCAATTATAATTACCTCTTAAATATCATATTAGATGTGACCCCGGCTTTCAGACACATGTTTTCATTTTTTCTCTTGCCGATTTTGTTTATTACCTTTAAATTTGATCAATTGATTCTATAAAGGATGACGGTCTTGAAGAGGTACATGCTAAGGTTGTTTATTTCATTGAAGTACATTATTGCAAACGTGGTAGACAGAAACAATGGACAGATTGTTGCAACAGCATCAACAGTAGAACATCACTCAAGAACTCACTTGAGTGTGGCCGGTCTTGCAATGCAAAGGCAGCAGCAGTCGTGGGAGAAGTGTTGGCAATGCGACTGAAGGTTGTGGGTCTTGAGCAAGGTCGGGGAAAAGGGATCCATGTTGATGTGAACAAGGAGATTGCAAAGAAAGGTTTCAAGAACCAAACAAATATTTGGACCATTGTAAATGCCCTTAAGAACAATGGAGTCAAACTCAATCTTGATGACGATGACAGTGGTACTTCTCGTCCAACCTATCAATGAATGTTATTTGCCCCTCCCTTTGCCAACCAAAAGAAGGAAATTGTAACATGATTTCTTCTCCCAAAGTTGAAGATAGTTTGTTATAATCATCAGAAACTCATGTGAAAGACTTGTACATGATAAGAAATTGAAATCCAGTGGTACAGTTTCTTTGTAATGAGAGTAGAAGGCAACAGTTTGGGAACTTTCAACTTCATTATTCTGATATATTGCTATGAGTGTGGCTTATTATCTTACGCTTTAAAACGACAACAATGGATTTATCTACATTCTGCATAAAAATTCCAAATGTTTATCTTTTTTCTAATTCCCTTTAACAAGCTAATGAGAAGATTGAATAAAAAATAAATGATGTGTCGTATTAAAAATCATCGGGTATTTATGAAAGTCGTTGGAGGCTCGAAAGTCCATGTGTGATTAGGTCACAAATGGGTTTTTTTTGTTAAGCAATGACCCCTGAAGATGAGAATCAATTTATATTTAGTATAAAATTTGAAGTAGTTACCAAACATGTTTTTTGTTTTTATTCTCATAATTTGATAGACAAAAATAACTTGCAAACATGTTTTCTATTNACCCTCCTCTGTTTATCATTTTCCATTACAAAAAAATTGGGTGTGCAGAGTACGTGTGTTCTCTGTGTGGTCTGTGTGTGTTCTGTGTGTTTTGTATGCGTCTGTGTGTTTTAAGTTTGTGTTTGTGTGACTGTGTGTGGTGTGTGTGTCTCTGTATGTGTTCTGTGTATGTCTGTGTGTGACTAGTTAGAGGTGGATCTTCAATTATTGGTGCTTTGTTGGGAATAAAGCATGGTCCTTTTTGAAGTGGATTTTGCCACATCAACCTAGTTGCTATAAGCACATGGAATGTATGTCTTGTTAAGGAACAAATTATTCTTTGCAATTATAATTACCTCTTAAATATCATATTAGATGTGACCCCGGCTTTCAGACACATGTTTTCATTTTTTCTCTTGCCGATTTTGTTTATTACCTTTAAATTTGATCAATTGATTCTATAAAGGATGACGGTCTTGAAGAGGTACATGCTAAGGTTGTTTATTTCATTGAAGTACATTATTGCAAACGTGGTAGACAGAAACAATGGACAGATTGTTGCAACAGCATCAACAGTAGAACATCACTCAAGAACTCACTTGAGTGTGGCCGGTCTTGCAATGCAAAGGCAGCAGCAGTCGTGGGAGAAGTGTTGGCAATGCGACTGAAGGTTGTGGGTCTTGAGCAAGGTCGGGGAAAAGGGATCCATGTTGATGTGAACAAGGAGATTGCAAAGAAAGGTTTCAAGAACCAAACAAATATTTGGACCATTGTAAATGCCCTTAAGAACAATGGAGTCAAACTCAATCTTGATGACGATGACAGTGGTACTTCTCGTCCAACCTATCAATGAATGTTATTTGCCCCTCCCTTTGCCAACCAAAAGAAGGAAATTGTAACATGATTTCTTCTCCCAAAGTTGAAGATAGTTTGTTATAATCATCAGAAACTCATGTGAAAGACTTGTACATGATAAGAAATTGAAATCCAGTGGTACAGTTTCTTTGTAATGAGAGTAGAAGGCAACAGTTTGGGAACTTTCAACTTCATTATTCTGATATATTGCTATGAGTGTGGCTTATTATCTTACGCTTTAAAACGACAACAATGGATTTATCTACATTCTGCATAAAAATTCCAAATGTTTATCTTTTTTCTAATTCCCTTTAACAAGCTAATGAGAAGATTGAATAAAAAATAAATGATGTGTCGTATTAAAAATCATCGGGTATTTATGAAAGTCGTTGGAGGCTCGAAAGTCCATGTGTGATTAGGTCACAAATGGGTTTTTTTTGTTAAGCAATGACCCCTGAAGATGAGAATCAATTTATATTTAGTATAAAATTTGAAGTAGTTACCAAACATGTTTTTTGTTTTTATTCTCATAATTTGATAGACAAAAATAACTTGCAAACATGTTTTCTATTTCAGTGTTATCCACAAAACAGAGATAAAAATTGTCTATGTTTTTTATTTTTTTGAAGACGCGAAAATAAAAACGTTACCAAATGGCCCCTTAGTTTTTCTCACTTCCTTGAAATTAAATATTTCCAAATTCGAACTCTGACCCCTATTCGGCTAGGCTTGTTCGTTAACCTAAAATTTCCGCGAACCAATTTCCATTCATTTTTTCTCGATTCACTTAACAGGTTCCACCTTCAAGATTGAACCACCCACCCTCGTTTATAACATTTAACACACCCGAGGTCTTGCTCTATCAGGCACAACCCTTGAGACCTCGGTCATTACAACTCCAATGGTCCCTAATGTATGCATTCAATCTCAATTTTAGTTCCCAGTATTTCAATTGTCATATTTATCCCTAAAGTATAACTTTTCCTTTTATGTGGTCTCCACTCCCCATGCCATCTAGGTCACTGGCAAAATTGGAACACATGTTTGTTGTGTGGGTTTACATGAGGGTTTGATTGAGAAAAAATGATTCCTTATTTCCTTTTTAATTTTTTTCCACTCCTTCCTTACTTCTCTCGGTTCACTTGTTCATTTCTTTTTTCTTTTTACTCTGTTGCTCCACCGAAAGCTCTCTCTCAACCAATCCCAACCAGTCTCCAAGCCTAGTGATTCTATAATCCCCTGCCCCTCTTCAACTCACAGTTTCCTCCTCTCTCTTTTGGAATGTAGAGGTGCCCTTGCCCTATCTTCATAAAATAGTAGAAATTCACGTCCTAATTATGCCAAGAATTTCCATGGAGAGCAGAAAAGGGTGAGAAAAGATCAATTGGGCCGAGGAGAAGTTTGAGAAAACTAATCTAAGAATCTAGAGAAACTTGTCGGTGGTGGGTGGTAGGCATGCGAATATCAACTGTATTTGGGTCTTAGAGGTGGTTGTAATCTTACAGGTTGGGGGTGGTGGGCATGCCACCATCAGTTGGCTTTGTGTTTGTTGTGTGACTAGAGGTGGTAAATGGGTGAGTTGGGTTGGTTATGGGTTGTGTTAAATTGGGTTGGGTTTAAAGTAAATCAAATCTATTTTTCACTCATGTAATAAATGAGTGATAATGGGTTGGGTTAAACCTCAATTAACCCATAAATTACACACACACCATTATACCAAAATAGACACATACACTATTACACCAAAATACACACACTACTGTACCAAAATACATATACACACTACTACACCAAAATACATACAAACTCAAACAATATTATACCAAAATACACTATTACACTATTACACCAAAATATACACACTATTACACCAAAATACATGCATATAGACTCATATATACTATTACACCAAAATGCACACACCCCAAAATAAACACACACTGTTACACCAAAATAAACACACATTAATCAGCAAAAAAATATACACGCACAGTGTCGCACAACGTACATGAAGAAATTCACCATCACATATCAAAACATGTGTTAATGAAAGATGATTCTTCAACATCTCAATGAGACCATCATTATACTTTACATTATCCAAAGTAATGGTAAATTTTTTTTTTCTCAATTCCCCATTCTTTTAGAAAAGTAATCACTTTTTCTACTAAAAGTAGTCTATTATGAGGAGGGGGTATATGACGAAAGATTAATATCCTTTTCTGCAGTACCCAATGTTCATCCACATAGTGAGTAGTCAAAGTCATATAACCGTCTATGGTGAGAGAAGTCTATAAATCTGAAGTCAAACAAATCCTACTTAGAATTAATGCCAATGCATGTCTAAATTGTTCTTTCTCCCTTTTATAAGCTTTCAAAATGTCCAACTTTGCGGTATTTCTTAAGATTGATTTCACATCTGGTTTCAAGAAGTTATGCAACTCTCTAATCCCTTCATATTCCACAAAGTTAAGGGGGTAATTATACTTGATTATGACATTAGAAAGCTTCTTTCAATAGACATTTTGATCAAAAGGTAGTTGTGGCGCCAACTTATTTGTGTCATGTTCAGGACATGTCGCTTTAAATTCGATATTCCGGACTTCAAGTCTGCCATATACAGTTGGTCACACTTTGTACACCTAGCCTTTTGTCTCCCCTCATTATTAATAGATAATTTCTTAAAAATATTCTAAACTATAGAGTAAGACTTTCTACCTCGTTTTCTAGTAACAGAACTTTCTTCGCCATAATCAACATTATCTCTTGAAGACACGGGGACCTCAATATGAATCTACACCCACAAAAATAAGCATTATATAATAAAGCATTCTAAAGGATATCCTGATAGTTTCGAACCATTAATCAACTATCATAGTTCATGTCACTAAATATTTAGAATAACTAGAGGATGCTAATTCCCAAAAAAAAAATACCTTCATGCAAAAAAATGGTAATAACTAATAGGAGTGCGGATGAGCTTATACCTTCATGCAACATTATCCCTATATAACTATTCATGGGTGTTAGACTCAAAGTTAATCTTAATTTTGTGGGTTCGAATATGAAGATAACTACTTTTTGTGAACAAAGTCAAACATAGGTCTATTCTCGGTTCATCTCTCCAATACTCCATTAATGGTGACTAAGGAATGATGACAAGTACTCATTCGCTCATATCATACGATGTGGGTTTGAGTCGTGAAATTTGCTTCCTCATAATGGGAATAAGATTCTCTATCATTTATCTTTCTCAAATCTTACTATCGATGAGAATTTTGTGCTGACAAAAATCCTCACGTAGAAACTTGAAAAAAGGGGGGGGAGGGGGAAGCAAAGTTTGTAGCTAAATAAAATGAAAAGCAAAAGAAACCCCTCATGAAAGGCAAAAGAATATGACCTTTATAATATTCAACATCACTCCTTGTATGGTCTCTTTCAACTGTAGTCTCTAGTTTAAAAGTTTGCATATATGCACAAATCACCATAAATGGGGTTATTCATTACATCATGATCCAATCACAATTGCACGGACTAATTGAATTCAAACTTCATTGTCTTCTTCGATCAAGTCTAGTGCATGGTGTCCACCGAAAAAGCTAGCTAATGCTCATTTTGTGATGCCTAAACATCTTTTGGGCATTTCATCAAACACGTTGTAGGTATGTCAAAATTGGTCTTTTAGCCAAAAAAATATAACTCAAGTAATTCAACATCCAATTCAAGAAAAACAAAGCTAATGCTAACAGAGAGGTAGAAAAGGAAAAAACAAGAAAGTGGGTTATTTGATGTACTGAGACAATATTTTGGGAAATTTTAATAAATAAAATCGGAGGGAACTCACTTTGCAAGCTTGAAGGATGAGGAGATGCGAGATTTAATAGTCGAATTCCAGTTGGAGTAACAGTAAAGGTGAGACTAGCGGTGTGTGGTGGAGGATTTGCTTTTTAACGTCAAGAGGGGAGAGATGGGAGTCTTAGCGGCTGGTGTGTGTATTTAGTATTCATTAGTTTTTAAGAAGGAAAACCCAATGGGTACCTATTTTAAACCCGATTTAACCCATAAATTTAAACTAAATAATAGTACCTAATCCATTTTTAACCCATAGTAATAAAAACAGGTACCCAACCCATTAATTTATGGACGGGTTGGGTGGGTTGTGGGCAAGAATTGCCACCGTTATGTGTTACCTTTGCAAGTGGTGGTGTGTTGCGGTGGTTGTGGTAGTGCGTGTGGTGGTTTGTTGCAGCGGTATGGGTGGTGTTGTTGTGCAGTGGTGTGGTGTTGCAGGTGGTGGTGTGGTGTGGTGGCTATGCCATTAAGGGTGATGGTGTTGCACGGTGGTTGGTTTAGGTACGCATTGCCTGTATTGTGTGAGAGAGAGGATGCACAACCAAGGGTGTTAATGTAATTTCCTCAATTTATGTTCCATCGGATGTCCTTCCAAATGGCACATGTGACCAGAAAGTGTTCATAATTGCTTTAGTGAGCTGGACGGCATCAGACATAGGGGCTACATAAATCAAATGTTTTACTACAGATGTAACTAACAGAATTGGAACATTACACTGAAATTTCATCGAATGCGACCATCAGTATAATTAAGCCTAGAATATTTTATGTTCAGTGCTGCTCCATCTGTCTTTTGATGCATCTTATGTATACCATTTGTTTTTCCCACGATGTCAATACAACAACAAAGAGATTCACTTGCTTGAAGTTGTTTTTCAATCTCAAACAATGCTATTTGAAAACAGTTTACTTCATATGAATCTCTCATTGGCTAATGCTTACCATTGATAAGGTTCTTTAACTTGTATTCCAAGATCTCTCATGACTCTTTAACATGTGGTGCCGCTGCTTTTTTTCCTTTTTGTCGGTTAAAAAAATTAGCAAAGTTCGCTAACCCAAATAGTTGGGATAAAGGTGTTGTTTGAGTTGATTTGGTTGGAACAAATTCTGTAGGTATGCCACTGGTTAGCAATAGGCAATTTACAT